TAAATGTCTTAACATACCAAGTAACAGTGATTTATTAAACACGTAACTATAGAAACGTACCTCAAATTACATTATAGCTGCACATTTGTGACTGGCCTTCACAACAACAACAACAACAACAAAACCCAATTCCCATATGTATGGGGTAAGGGGGAGGTAGGGTAGTAGGCTGCCCCCAACGCCAGGTTGAGAATAGCTTCCGTGAAAGACCTCCGGCAGTCAGAAAATTAAAAATATAGATAAAATGCAATGCATGTATAAATAATTACATAAATACATAGCTAAACAGTATTCATATGCAGTCATTAATATCATATGTGCTTCTGTAATGGGGAGTAATCCCTGCAAAATAATCCCTACGAAAGAGTCTCTGCATATAGACAGAAACCTAAGACCCGGCTAAAATTAACAGCGGAAACATGATGAGAATGATACACATGAGACAACGATAGCAAGCCCAGTTCTAATATTTCATAAATACCAATAACAGAAAAGTATAAAAAGTAAAAGTCAAGGAAATAACTACAAATGCATTTAAAAGAAGACAAAGATGATACACCCTATAGATGTGACCCACACTACTCGACTACCCTAGTCTTAAGCCTCCATAATTTCCTATCATAGGTCATGTCTTCGGTAAGGCCTAAATCCCTCAAATCAGATCTCAAGCAGTCATCCCACTTCCGCCTTGGTCGTCCTTTCCTTCTGGCACCGTCGACTGTAATCGACTCTACCCTCCTGACCGCATCCGACGGTAGTCGCCTAAGGACGTGTCCAAACCACCGTAGTCTTCCCTCCCTCATTTTTTCGGAAACAGACATCACCCCTAAGGACATCCTAATAGCAGAGTTTGTCGTCATATCCCACAGAGTCCTACCACATGTCCATCGAAGCATTCTCATTTCTGCGGCCTCTATCCTCCTAACGTGATCCTTCTTGGGTGCCCAACATTCTGATCCATACAACAGCGCTGGTCTTATTGCCATTCTATAAAATTTTCCCTTAAGTTTTAGAGGCACCTTCTTGTCACACAAAACTCCAGTAGCAGCCCTCCACTTTAGCCATCCCGCCTTTATACGGTGTGTAACGTCATCATCTACACCCCCATCTTTATGTATCATAGACCCTAAGTACTTGAAACAATCCTTTGAGGGAAGAACGTGTCCTTCTATGCATACTTCTACATTTTCATCATTTTGGTTCCCACTGAAGTTTGAACATAAATACTCTGTCTTTTCAATATTGATCCTTAAACCTTTTTCTTCCAAAGCAGTCTTCCAGGTAGCCAGTCTGCTATTCAACCCAGATTTTGTTTCAGCCACTAAGACAATGTCGTCAGCGAAAAGCATACACCAAGGTACACCGTCTGGTGTCGCACAATAGATGTCGTCCATAATCAAGGCGAAGATGTAAGGGCTAAGAGCCGACCCCTGGTGGAGTCCGATTTCCACCGGGAATGCCTCGGTGTCGCCAACTGTAGTCCTGACGTAAGTAGTAGATCTACAGTACATATCACGAATCGTCCGGATATAAGCAGTTGGTATCCGTCTCGTTTCCAAAGTCTTCCAGATCGTATCGCGAGGAACGCTATCATAAGCCTTCTCAAGGTCAATGAACGCCATGTGAAGATCTCTAGACTTTTCCCTATATTTCTCCATAAGCCGTCGAAGTAGATGAATCGCCTCCGTGGTAGACCTGTTTGGCATAAAGCCAAATTGGTTTTCCGAAACCCTAGTGACTTGTCTCAACCTAGCCTCTATCACCCTTTCCCATAGCTTCATGGTATGGCTGAGTAGTTTAATACCTCTGTAGTTACCACAACGTTGAGGATCTCCTTTATTTTTATAAATTGGTATCACCGTAGACTCTCTCCACTCCTCTGGCATCTTGGCAGTCTCTAAAATAATATTAAAGATATTGGTCAACCACTTAACTCCCTCATCTCCTAAGGCTAACCACACAGTGATAGGAATTTGATCAGGACCGACAGCTTTCTCCCTTCCCATCTTTCTAAGAGCCATTTTGACTTCCTCAAACCCAATCCTACTTGTAGGGCAGTCATTGGCCGTAGTATGATGGTCGGCTGACCCAACAACGATATTATCTCTACATGGAGAGGCACCGTCATTAAATAAGCCAAAGAAGTAACTACCCCAAACCTTCTTAATATCCTGTTCTTTCGTTAAAAGAACACCATTGTTGTCCTTAATTAACCTAATGTTACCTAGATCTTTTTTCCTAGTCTCCCTAGATTTTGCAAGTCTGAATATGCCATTTTGTCCTTCCTTAGTGTCTAATCTCTTGTACATTTCCTCATATGCCTTATCCTTTGCTTTAGCTACCGTTTTCTTGGCTTCCCGCTTTGCCTCCTGGTATCTTTGTTTAGCTCCCGACCTTTCTTCGTCGTCATTGCATTGAAGAAACTCCTTGAAGCAAGTTTGTTTTGTCTTCACCTTAGTTTGGACTTCGTCGTTCCACCACCACGATTCTTTATGTACCTTGGCCTTCCCCGTCGACAACCCAAGGGTTTTTTGCCCACCTCTCTGATGGAATTTGCCATATTTTTCCATAACATATCTGCGTTATTTGAGTTTGTAGTTTCAAAACCTGTATTAGACAAAAGCTTACTCCTAAAGTCATCAGTTGTCGCTCCATGTAAGTTCTTCCAGAGGATCCTAGGTTTACCCAGTTTAGCCCTCCTATGCGTGCTCCGCCCGTTGGGTACGCGGAACACCAAACCAACAATTTGTGTTGTGATGCACATGCCTCTTCAGGGAACACCTTACAGTCAATGCAAGCCCATCGTTCCCGATTTCTAACCAAGATGTAGTCGATTTGGGTACAATGTCCCCCACTGTGAAACGTAATCAAGTTCGCATCTCTTTTATTAAATAAGGAGTTAGTGATCACTAAGTCGTGAGCAGTAGCAAAATCAAGCAACGTACGCCCCTCATCATTCCTGTTACCATAACCGAAACCCCCATGAACACCGTCATACCCGTCGATTGCACTACCTATATGGCCATTGAAGTCTCCCCCTATGAAAACTCTTTGGTCCTCCGGGATGCTCCTAAGTACAATATCTAACTGATCCCAGAAGCAACGTTTCTCCCCCTCCCCTAGGCCAACGTGTGGAGCGTACACTGAAAGGACATTCACCACTTCCGCTTCTATAATAACCTTAATCATCATGATCCTATCCCGGTATCTACAAACTTCAACAACATTTCCTTGAGACTAGAGGATACCAAGATACCCACCCCATTTCTAGCGTTATCTACTCCTGAATACCACAACTTGTACCCATTACACTCTCTGGCGCGAGCCCCTTTCCACCTAGTCTCCTGAATACATGCAAAATCTATTTTCCTATTACTAAGTACGTCGGTCAGCTCCAGCAGCCTAGCATTTAATGTGCCTACATTTAACGAACAAACTCTAAGTCTAGTCTCATTGACACCACTCCGTTGAGCCCTCCCCCTATACGCCCTATGGGATCTAAAAGAATGACATGACCTCAAGTAATCATCTATAATCGAAGCTATGGGGGACTATGAAAAAGAAGATCCAAAGAAGAAACCTTTCTGAAAATCCTCAGACCCGAAAATGCAACACCCAAAAAGCAAAAAACAGTTTATAAATATTTATAACAGATATACTCAATTTGAAATATAAATAATGATATAAGATACTAGAGGTATAGGACAATGAAAAAAAATGATCTAGTAACTCCTACCCAGAGCAATATAGCAAAATATAGATCCAGTAGTGCCTTAAAGGTGAAGAATGAAGATAAAAGGAAAGCCCTTGATAACCATCAATTACCAGTAGTGTATTAGCATGAACTTCACTTGGATTATTCTAGAGTACAAGACAAATAATTAAAACTACGCCGAGTCAAATATTATCCTCCGAAATTAAGCAGCAAAAGCACGAAAATTTGAACCAAGTAACTACAGAACTGAAGATTAAAAATAACTAAATTGAGATCACAACTCGAGAGAAAGAACAATAAACCCCAATAAAGGAAATAACGTGTAGACCTAAAAAGAAATGAAAATAATTCAAAAAGGAAAGAAAAACCCAAATTCAAATCCCAGAAACTAGATCTAATCCAATTCACCAAAACGAAAATCAAATCATACTAACACTTGAACAAAGAAATATGATTCATTCAACCCAAAAATAATAAGGGGAAAACTGGATCGAGTGAGGAAATTTGGTACCTTTCTCGAGGATTCCAATGGAGGGGATTTGGAAATAACTAGAAAAGGATGTTAAAATCAAGCTTACCAGCAAGAAAATCCAAGCTGAAACTGAAAATCCTGTGAGCAAAAGCAGATCCAAGCTGCCGAATCACTGTTGCTCAAAATACAGATCTAACCTGGTATACAGGCTCTGGACTGCTGTAGATGTTTAGACAAAGCCGATCGTGACAGAGAATGTATTTTCACTTTATTTGAAAGTATCACAAAAAAGTTAAATTCCGAAAACAAGAAGGACGAATACCCAAAAACGAATCAAATTGAGCACTGTACTGAAGCAAACAAGTTCAGCCCCAAAACGAAATAGATAAGGATTGGGTTTACAAATCTGTAATTTTCAGGGCCTGTAATCCTCAGAAGATGTAAATCAGAACCGGCGAGAACGGCTGAAAGACTCAACCCTTAGATGAGTTCGTGGAAGAAGAGAGCTTACAATCTATAAAATAACGGTAAACGAAAATCAAAACTCAGAGGAGAGAGAAAGAGGAGAAAAAAATCCAATCAAAAACAAATCACTGGCCTTCACAAACATATCATAATAAATCCCCACAACTTAATTTACTCATCTATGGGGGTATACCATACCACTAAACTTTGCACGTGTTGCATAATCATCGGATATCCAAGATTTTAATCTTGCACCACTAAGGTCTAATGTCTCGTATATTTTTTGAGTGTCCATATTGTTTTTCCAAATGCTAAGTCAATAATATTAAAATAATAAAACACCATAAATTAAAATAAAAAATACTTATTTTAAGATTGTGGGCATTCAATAATATTACGTTTGCGTATGATTAGTGAAAAAAACAGAAAACATTCTAGCTATGGGATGTGATTCAGAGTCGTGAAAGATGCTAATACAATGATACCAACCATCATTGGCAAAGCATTGGCTTGTCTTCTCATTCATTTCTTGGCCTTGGGTTTCTTCGAGACGGCCGTCTTCTTTCTTGCTTTCTTGGCTGGCTGCGACTTTCCTCCACCAGTTTTACCTCTCTTCCGGGATGCCATCTACACCAACAGAGATGCATTCAAATATGAATAAGCATTCAAAGTTCATTTTAACAGAGATGCACTTTAGTCAAAGTGGTTTGAATGCATAAATATGTTTTCTCTGCTCTTCCTTTGGATTTCCCATTCATTTGCCCATCAATCTCCTCATTTTGATCAGTTTGATGCTTCGGCATCTTCTCAGCTTCATCTTCAGAATCAAACGAGAAGCCCTCTAGTGTTCCTATCATCGTCAAATCATATCAAATATCATGAAGTGAGCAAGAAGTATATGTCAAAATATGAACCATAATCTAATATTAGATGGAAGCACTAGTTGCCCAACCCACAGTCTCGTTTCTTCTCGCCAGAAAATGAATAACTAAATACAAAAAATAAAAGGCTACAATAAAGGTACCTTCCACCATTGTTTCTGCTTCATAAACATTGGATTGTGGCTTCATCTGAATGAAGTCATTCATGATAGCCTCTATCTGAGAACAGAATATGCAATTCAGAGGAGCAATAAAGAAACTTAACAGCAACATTCAGGAAACGAACAAGCCTCTGACTGATCAAAGCAATGCCGACGTTAATTTTTAGGACAAACCTTAGCCTCAGTCTGACCAAAGCTAACCTGTACAACAACAAAAAAACTTGGTAAACAATATCAATACAATCACTAATGTCCACAGAGAATGCAAGACAGAATTTACACACGATGCAAAATGTTCTGGAAGGCACTATTGTTGTTTTGTATATGGTTCCTGAAAACAAAAATAAGCCATTTAAAACCAGTCATGAGAGACTAAGAAAGATAAGGTCTTCAAACTAGAACTGTTGTAAGGACAAGATTTAATTAGAAAAAAGAAGTACAAACGCATAGAGTTTAACTGAAAATTCAGTAACTTGCTGAACTTGAGTGCAGAGCAAGTCCAAGTATATAAGAATATATCTGTGTTGTCTACCCTCACAGTGTCAGTAACTCACCAACCATTCAGAGATGATAATTTACAAGTCCAAATATAAAATAAACATATATATCATATAAACCAAAGAAGAGCAGTCAAACAACATATGACACATGCCTTTTAAGTCTAAGAACATCTCATGATTTTCAGATGCAGAACCAGAAACTACAATTCGACCAACGGCCCCTATATCGCCACTCAAATCTATTGAATCCCCTTCGCACTCAACAAGTGCCTGCACAAGCCAAAGATTTCTCGTTAATCACCGACTCCTTTTCACTGTAGACATGTGATCACAAGGCTAAAATTTATTTAGTTAATTCTATAATATTTAAGATCTCTGTAACATAAAATATATTTTGTTTATTTGAGGCTTCCACTTTGGCAGACAAAATCAAACCAAACTAGCAAGTTTTAGATTTTGAATTAAAATAAAAGCAGGAAGCTAAATCCTTAAAAGGCCACATGTAGAGATACCAAAAATACAAGTTATTTATTTCAAAAATATATATACATATATATATATACAAGGTATGACTGGTTTCCCAGGTTGTTTGCAGAGCTTTAGTGACTAAGAAAAGTGACAAAATTAATAATTTCAGATTATTTCCTAGGCATTGTCAATATAATCCTTCTTGAAATTCGCAGCCAATTCTCTAGGGAAGCTAGTTGTAAATGAGCAATAAATATGACAAACTGTATCCTACCTTTGAGCGTTGAACTTTATCAGACAGAACCAAAGGCAACCTTGAGGGTGAAACCTATATATTATAAATGTTGAAGGATTCAGTGAATTGTAGGTTCAGATGACAAAAAAGACACAATCATGGTTGCTACCAACATTCTTACATGAGGTTCAAAGTGCTTCTCCGATGCTGCCTCCTCAGATGTTTCCACAGTACCATCATTTTCTGTAACAGAATCAGACATTGCATGTGAAGCAACTTTGGTAACTTTATCACATAAATGGTCTTTGCATCAGCTATATGAATGTTTTAAGCAAGCCAAACCCAACATAAGTTAAAATAAAATTTTACAGTACAAATCCAGTACCATACCTGTAACCTTTGCACCATCTTTCACATTCTTCTCCTTTTTGGGAGTCTGACCCCCAATTTTTACCCCCATTTTCGGAGATATTCCTTTAGATGTCTTCTTTTGTTGAGCCTTTTCAATTCTGCCAGTCAGAACTGGATCACTGGTCTCACCACTTTCTTGAGATGAAGACCCTTTCTCCTTCCTTCCAGGAGAAGACTCTGAATCCGATGACAATGTCCAAATTGAATGATTTGCTGCCTGTTCAACATCCAACTACTTCCATCAGCACCCATATTAACAGTAGCCCACCAACCTAATCAGAGTAATACCAGGTTGGTTATCATAATATAGTACATGTCTCAAATATATGAAGTAAAATTTGCATTATAAAGCTTTTATCATCCTGTTAAATGAATGAAAATGGTTTTGTTCTATCATAAAACGATTCTTTCCCAAAGCAAAAATGTCTTTAGGGTCTAAAATCATTTTTTTAAGTTTGATGACAATTTTGATAGACCATGACATGCTATATAATAAAGGAGAAGCTTGAATTGGGTAATCCCAAGCGAAGGCAAGGCAATGTGAAATCTTACATGAGACCCCAAGTCTTTCTCGGACATTTCTTCCAAAGAAACCTTTCCATCCTCCTCACTCCCTGTATCATTGCTAAAAGTTCACAGTGCACAAGTTGTAAACAACAAAGTCAAGTTCAAAGAAAGGGCTCAGAAATCAAAAGTTGATATATTACATATTTTTTTCACAATTCATTTAAGAATCATTTCAGTTATTTGGAAAAAACCTAATGTCAATTCTTAACATTAATAGGAGTATTACTCCTTTTTACCTTCCTGTTTTTTTTCCGAAGATATCGGTTTTCATTTTTTTCCCGAGGTGTTTGATCTACTTTATCGTTGTTTACATTCTTCTTTTCCAATTTTGATGACCTGTGTAGAATGATGTCTTCATCATCAGTTTTATCCTCCCCGAGCGGGCTACCATTTGGCAAAGAATCGGAATCCGAAGATAATGTCAACTTAGAAGTTGGTGCCTGGAAGCAAAGTTAATTCCCACCATTCAGTTAGAAAACAACGCGAAGGTGCAAGAATAAGCTAACTGCTATAGGGTTTACGAATGAAAAATCTGATTAACACCTAAATTTGTAGCCATAAAAAGATGATGGGGGGAAATATAGTGAAAATGCAGGGTAAATATACCTGAAAAGAGCGCAGCCAATCTGGAGAATCTTCCCTGGAGCTGTTCATTCCTCACCAATTGATCTTCCCTGGTATTAGATAATACAAATTATGACTTGAGCAGCACTTACAAGCTGCGAAAACACAAAACAAAATCCAAAGACACCAAAGAAATTGTTAACAGGGAAACCCTAAAAGCCTAAAGCCAAACAAATTAACTGTAATGCAACGGTGCTGGGTGTAGAAAATAGATTAAAGAGAGTAACAAACACTGAATAAGAAATTCAGACGGAAAGTGGGTAAAAGGAGGAATAAGAGGAACAGAGGGGCTCTTATGAAGTTTGGGCCAATGCCCTAAAGAATCAGGGAAGGTGAGTCAGTGACTCGTTGAGTTTGGGATGGGATTTGATTCGAGAGTTAAAGCAGAGTCGGGAATAAGAGGAACAGAGGGGCTCTTATGAAGTTTGTTTAATCTTGAAGATTAAACATTCCCTGGGCTCGATTCTCGCAAGCTTTGCGAGTGGATCAGCAATCATGTTCTTTCACAAATCTTAATTAACTAAGACTTTCAAGATTTTATTGGATGGAATATATATTTCTAAAAGTAAATTAGATTGTTTCTTATTTATAACGTGGTGAATGAAAATGTTTTATGCAAATAATATATTTATAAAAATTATTTTTAAAATGATTGTTGATAGAGTAATGAAATAACTTTTATATAAATTCATTGCTCTTATTAATTCAGGATACGCTAATCAATATTTCAAGCGTAATACTTTTAACCCAAATCAAAAGGGACAAAATTAGAAAAAATACAAGGGTTGTAAAAAGGAATTAGGAAATTACGATGAGTGAAAATTATTTAGGAAATTATGATATTTTTATAGTGATTTAGAATTTGTTATAACTAAAACTTGTAACGAGAGATGAATGATAAGTTCTAATAAAATATTATTTTTATTAGAATTTGTTATGTTCTCGTGACGGTTATTTATTGAAACTTGTCACCTCATGTGATGAGTTTAAAGTCATTGTAATAAATGTTATATATTTTTAAATAATTTTTTACCAATTGTATATTTTAAATTATTTTTGATATAAACATTAACATGCTAATTTCGGATTAGAAGTATGTGATTTATAAAGAAAATACGATTTTTCTTTCAAGAGAAGAGTGAGTTTGGTTTAAAGTAAGGAGTGGCAACAACATTGTTTTTTATGTTTTCACTTTTGTTTTTTTGGTGTAATTCCTTTTTCTCGTATCTATCATTCAAAGATATCACATGAGACATAAAAAAAATTCTTATCGAAAACCAGTAAAATTTTATTTCTTTGAAACTAACAATAATTCATAATCCATTTAATCACATAAAACACATTTCTAATTATTAGACATTCAAACTAAGTTCATTTTTTTACAACCAAACACACGTTAATAAGATAATTAAATCTCTGACTAATATCCATCATCACAACATAAGCAATGTAACGTCCTAGTTCCGAAGACCAAGGAATTAGTAAGCCACACGAAAGTGGCTAACCCAAAAAATTTTCTTTTTAAAACAATCATAAGATCAATTTAGAGAAAACATTCATCATAATCGTAAAATAAAAATAAGAGTATTTAAGGTTACAAAGCCCCCAAAATACATCTGAACTGACTTTAAAGATTACTACAAAATACAGTTATGACTCGAATACCAAAAGGTCCATATACAATACATGCATCTACAATATACTCAAGATGTACTTCAATGATGTTGTTGGTCTGGAAAGCTGATTGTGCAATAAGCTCCATGAAATGCTCCTCTTAAGAACCTGCACGCGGAAACAAATTCCGAATGCTAAGCTCACAAGCTCAGTGTCACACTAATAACCAAACTATACTATATGTGACCATTATATGGTCATGCTTGCTAACATACTTATTTGCATATGAAATATTCCAACTACACATACAAAAAAGGCAACATCATGGTACGGTCGGAGTGTTTTGCTATATCTTAGAGACATAAATCCCTCTAGACTACCTAGGGTGAGATTTAGAGTTTCTACATCGGAATTACTCACCCAACCAACCTACTTCAAACGAGTACTTAGGGCATCTGCGCCCGGTCGGTAAGAAGTGCCTTGTGCACTAATTAAAACTTGTCCAGACATCTTACTACATGAGCGTTTATCTAGCTACTAGAGTAATTCGGGTGTCCCGAGCATCAAACAATGCTAGTTTTATCATTTATTATATTATATTGTTTCTAGATGTAGTTATAGTCATTTACATTGTTCTCGCTTAAAGTCTTATATATGGAGTTTAGACGACCTTTAATCCTTAATCAGGAGTGTTTAAGATGAAATAGATTTCTTATTCAATTCAAGACAAGGGTATCGATACTAGCTTTAAAGTATATATACTTCTATATAAGGGTATCGATATTTCCCTGAGTGTCAATACTAAAAATGACTTCGATGTTTGAAAAATTTACTGAGTATCAATACCCTTATCTAGGGTATCGATACCTTCTCCCCAATATAGATACTCCCTTGAGTATCGATACTACCCTTTGAGTATCGATACTCTTAAAATGAGTATCGATACTCGCAGCTAGAACACCCTATTATTTTGACCACTCAAAGAACTATACATGTACTGTTCATGTAGTATCGATATTGTTACCCAGAAATGCCCAATTTTGGGCACAAAAATCAACCTAATACTACCTATTCTCCCATTTTAAGTCCATCAAATGATGTTTAAGTCTTATATGATATGTTAGGGGTCATAAAGTGCTAATTTTCATGCTTAATAAGAACATATACTAGCATCCACCATGAATACGCTCCCATGCTTCATAAACTAACGCAAGCCAACAAGTTTACTAAATGACCCACAAATAGTACATGAAGGTTAGAAATGTGTTACTTTGATTTCCTAGCTGAAGAAAAAGTCCTCAATCAACCAAGTGTTGACTTCTCTTTCCCCTTGGCTTTAGAACATTATCCAACTTCTTTCACTAATACAATATGGGAAAATGAGTTACTAGCTTGTTTGTGAGACTAAAATGAGACTAAGAACACTTTCTTAACTCAAATTTATAGAAAATGAGCTAGAAATCCTAGTTTCCTAAACTTCTAATAAACCCCATCTATGTCTATAGTGACAAACCTTTGAGATTGAGAGCTTGAATGTAAGCTTGGGGTAAGTAGTTTTTGATTCTTACCTTATAAATTTCGTACTAAGCTTGGAAGGCTACCATGATTTCACATTTGCTATGTTTCTTTAAAGGAGAAAAAAAAAGATGGAGATGAAGATGAAGAGAAAAAGTAGGGACAATGAATGGTGAAAGTGAAGGAAACAGGGGAGTAGGTAAGCAACATTACATCATCCTCATTAAACAAAATCAGTATTTGTTTGGAATGAGGGTACAATTGCTCTTTTAATCCTTTATCTTTCACTTAGAACATAAATGATCCTAATCTATACCATTTGGGCCTAATATAAGCGTACTATCTATTCTTAACTTGGTCCAAGCTATTCTATATATCTATTGGGCTCGTTAAATTCCCCTCGGGTTAGACCAAAACTACTAACCTGGGATTTGGGGTGTTACAACCCTTCCCTCCTAATAAGAAATTTCATTATCAAAATTTACCTAGATAGAAGAGATGCAGATACTGAAGATGCATATCTTACTCGGTTTCCCACGTTGCCTCCTCGACACCATGATTCCTCTATAGAACTTTTACTAGGGGAATCTTCTTGTTTCTTAGTTATTTCACGCCTTTTACTAGCATCCTTACCAACTCTTCCTACTAGGTCAAGTCTTGGCTCACTTCAACATGCTCTAATGGTAAGATGTAGGAAGGGTCAGAACGATACCTCCTAAGCATGACACATAGAACACGTTATGGATTCACTCCAACTCCGGGGGTAAAGGTAACTGATATACCACTGGTCAAACCCTCTCGAGTGTCTTATAAGGCCTTATGAAGCGCAGGGTTAACTTTTTTTGCGCCCAAAATGAAGTACCTTTTTCCATGGAAACACTTTAAAGAAAACCTTGTCTCTCACGGTAAATTTGATGTCCTTCTGCTTCAAATCCATATAAGATCTTTGCCTATTGGATGTTTATTTCAACTGACTCTAAATTAACAAAATCTTCTCTTCAGTTTCCCTAATCAAATTCTGCCCCACTATCTTTTCTTCACTAAGTTTGATCCAACAAACTAGAGTCCTACACTTGCGTTTATATAAAGCCTCATATGGAGCCATTTGAATACTAAACTGATAGATTTTACGTAAAATCCACTAGTGATAGATAATTTTCCCAACTACCTTTTAAGTCAATGATGGTGCATCTAAGTATATCTTCGAGGACATGAATAATATGCTCAGACTGGTCGTCTGTCTGAAGATTGAATATGGTACTAAAGTGTAACTTGGTGTCGAGGGTCTTATGGAGAGCTTTCCAAAACTAGGAAGTAAATCTTGGATCTCTATTAGATATGATTGAGGTCAAAACTCAATGCAACCTCACTATTTCGCGGATATAGAGTTGTGCTAACCTCTCTAAGGTATTAGGAGAAAATGAGTTGATTCCGTCAACCAGTTAATCATGACCCACACTGCGTTGTGTCTCTACCTAGTCGTCAATAACCCGTTCACGAAGTCCATAGTCACTCTATCCCACTTTCACTATGGAATTTGGATCAACTAAAGTAACCCTGAAGGAACTTGATGTCCCACCTTAAATTGCTACTATACTAAGCACTTGCCAATAAACTCAGACACTTCTCTTTTCATGCCCAGCCACCAGTACAAAGATTGAAGTTTTTGATACATCTTGTTACTACCTGGATGAACTGAAAGCGGACTACAATGTGCTTCATAGACTACAAAGCTTACTACAATGACTCCTAAAGAAAAACATGTCCTCATTGCACAACTCGAAACCTAGGACCTCACCTCGACAGAGTTGCTCCACATGAGTTCTTATGTGATCGTTCGAATCTTGTAATCTCTTGACTTTGCTCACTAACTTGACTTCTACCCGAAGCTCAGCTAATAACCCTCCATCTATAGATATATTCAAGCATGCCAACAAGGCTCACAACTTAGACATTGACTTTCTGCTCAGAGTATCTGCAACAAAAGTTTGCTTTCCTCGAGTGGTAGTCAACCACGCAGTCATAATCCTTTAGTAAATCAACCCATCTATATCGCCTCGAGTTCAACTCTTTCTGAGTGAGTAGGTACTTAAGGCTCTTATGGTCGATAATGATATGTCACTTCTTGCCAAACAAGTAATGCATC